GGAAGTTATGTTTCTGAATATCCTTACTAAACCAATTGAATATTTGTTATAAAAATATTATGATTAATTTATGGTATAATAATTCTAATTCATTTATCGTACTTTTCTAATAAAAGAAAGTTTTTATAACAAATAAAGATCCAAAAGTAGAAATATAATTTCAAGATTTTAACCTCCTCTTGGAAAATCAATATTTTAAATTTTTTTCCCCAGTGTACCCTTCTCCAGAAAATTAATGATTGATTGATTTTAATTTAAATCAATATTCAATTCATTTAAACTTAAAAATCGAATTATCAATCGAAATTAATATCTGATCCAACTTTAAAATAAGTATAATATGGAATTTAGTTTCCTATATCAATAAATGATTAGACAAATCCTGTTTACTTACACACACAAGGAGTGATATTAGAAGTTAAATTTTATTTTTTATCATCCAAATGTTTCACTAAAAACACAAGGAGCGATATTAGAAGTTAAATTTTATTTTTTGTCATCCAAAAGTTTCACTAAAACGAAACAGAACTACTAAACAGCCTAAAAAGTGAGACAATAATAAAAACAAAAATAATAGAAACGAAATAAACAAAAGAAAGAAGCAGAAAAAAATACGAAAAGTAACAATGCCACCAACCACTTATAACAAACCAAAACAGGGTGTCCTGGATCAAAAGCTGTTAATCCTAGGCATTAATAAAAAGTTCTAAGCACTTTAGTTCTTTTAGACTTAAGAAATCTAAAACTCTTAAAAAGACAAATAACGAAGGTCAGATGTGATGGCACATCTGATTGCATAAATATAATAATTTTCTAATCGTTTCGACTACTACACCTATATATAATCCGGTCATTCAACATAAACACTCTCAATTTTTAATGTGAATATAGGGAAAATTAATAATTGTAAAATTCTAAATAAAATTTTTATTGTCTCTGACACAGCTGGTTATTATGACGATAATACCCTAAGCTTATATAGGTTCTTTAGAAAAATAACGTTTCTACCATTTCACAGAAAGGTTTTAGCCATTAAATTTTTTTTTTTAGAAATAACCACATGTCTAACTCCCATTGCATATAATCTATATGTGACTAATTCATGATTTAAATCATTTTTGGAAAAATTATTTTATATTTCATAATAAAAATTACCATAGTCACTGACCCATTACTTAGTGTTGTTAAAGTAACTAGTTACAAATTTTTGATAAAAAATAACTGTAACTAGTAATATTTTTTGAAATGACTGCCAAATGTATCAGGGGAGGGGTGGGTCAGCATTTAGAATGATATTTTTCAGAGTAGGTATATTAAAAACCAAATATAATCGATTCTGAATCTAGGTCCGAATCGTTCTTTATATGTGGATCACAATTTGGTTCCGGTATTTAAAATCTCGAAACTGGATCGAAGTGCGCCATTCACTAGGCAAATCACAAATACTTTAATTTAACATCTTTGAATTATTTCGCTCTCACTGAAATCCAAATAACTAATAAAAAGTCTAATATATATAACTATTATCAACAATTTTATTGCCTTTATTCCAAAAATTTTTACGTTTTTCCTTTTTTCAATCAATATTTATATTTTTAAAATAAATGGATATAATATTTTTGTACGAATTTTAATATAATTATTTTTTTATAACAGTTCAGAGAAAGAATTAGTCGTAAAAAAAAGATAAATTTTTGACCATGTCTTGGATCTGTCTCCAGTCTTTTAAAAAGTTGAAACGTTCCTACCGTAAGAGGTTTAGAGTGGAGCAAACGATATGAATTAGAAACCGTATATTTGGTAATCTTCCGTTAGTGCGGAATGTTGTGATTTGCTGGTTAATTTAGATCTATGTAACCAAATCAGACGCTGTCCCTTTGATCAATAAATTTATATATATTATTAAATGCAAATAAATATAAATTTCATTTAAATTTCTTTAAATTATAATTTGGAACACGCAAAATAAAAAAAATAATTACATTAAAAAATGATTAGTAACTTGCAATATCATTAGTTACTTTAATGTATTCTAATCAGAGACCTTCATGGGCCGGGTAGGCCTTGGTTTTTTGGAAATTTTTACTTGGGCCTGGCTTGAGCCTAAGTTTTTATTTTTCAAATTTAGAATTTTTTAAGGATATTTATTTGGCAAATCCATGAACCTAGTCGATCTTTCATCAAACAATTACAATATCAATCATCTAAGAATCATCTCGTACGCAGATGACCTGGTTTTAATTACCAAGTCAAGAGATGAGACAATAGACTTACTAACAAGTTTCTGCTTCCATAGCAACAAAGTCGGCCTAACCATCAACTTCAATAAAACTTTTATCATGCCATCCCCAGAGGCATCTATAGATAACTTAACATTAGAGGGGAATGAAATCAAAATAGTCAATAATTTCAAATATCTTGGCGTGCTTATTGATAATAAAGGAAACATCAGCGGCGAAATCGAAGCCCGACTAAAAAATGCCAAAATAACCTTCATGAAATATCATAAACTATGGACAGAGAGATTTCAGTCAAAACGAGAATCCGAATTTAACGCTCCAGTCCTCCTCTACGGCAGCGACACTTGGGAAATAAATAAACCCCAGACAAAGAAAATACAGGTTTTCATAAACAGCAGTCTGCGCCAGCTCAACTGTATTTTCTATCCAAGATTAATTTCAAATGCCAGCCTATGGCGAATTTCAAAAAACATCCCGAGACTACTCTCAAAAAAAGACACATCCAACTCTTTAGTCATACCATCAAAAACTTCAGACAAAACATAGTTCTATTTTTAATAAACTTCATTAATCAATGATTTTGATATTAAATATAAGTAAAAATTTCCTTTCAATTCTTTAACGTCATCTTATTTATTTATAGAATAAATAATATTATTAAAAATTAAATATCTATTATTTCATGGATATCTTTTTTTTCTTCTCCTTTTACGTGTTCTTAGTAAAAAGTATTTTTTTCTTCTTTAAAAAACAATTTTGAGTTAAATTTTTATACGAATATATTTTTGATATTATTGCAAACTACTATTATTTCAAGACATAATATACCAACTAGAGGTGGTGCGACAATAATATAAAATCTAAATTGCTTTCAACATATCATTCAGTTGTTTTTTTTCTAGATACTAAATGTATCATTTCTAATATGGTATCCTTGCCATGTAAATAACTCCTGGCTTCAATATATTTGCATGATTATTTCTTCTAAAGATTTCTAATGTTTTCGTTTTATCAATTTTCTAACATCATAAATTCTGATATGAGGTTACATCGTGAAATCAGCAACTGTTACTTGTTGTGCATGTTCTTGAATATTAACGTCTTCGGTAGCTATATAAAATATTTGAATAATTTTACAAAATTAAAACATGGCTTTATACTGGCTTTAAAAATATATTTAATGTAAAAAAATTAGAAATTGAATCGTAATGCAGGAATTTTAAAAGAAAGAAAAGAAAGAAAAGAAAGAAAGAAAGAAAGAAAGAAAGAAAGAAAGAAAGAAAGAAAGAAAGAAAGAAAGAAAGAAAGAAAGAAAGAAAGAAAGAAAGAAAGAAAGAAAGAAAGAAAGAAAGAAAGAAAGAAAGAAAGAAAGAAAGAAAGAAAGAAAGAAAGAAAGAAAGAAAGAAAGAAAGAAAGAAAGAAAGAAAGAAAGAAAGAAAGAAAGAAAGAAAGAAAGAAAGAAAGAAAGAAAGAAAGAAAGAAAGAAAGAAAGAAAGAAAGAAAGAAAGAAAGAAAGAAAGAAAGAAAGAAAGAAAGAAAGAAAGAAAGAAAGAAAGAAAGAAAGAAAGAAAGAAAGAAAGAAAGAAAGAAAGAAAGAAAGAAAGAAAGAAAGAAAGAAAGAAAGAAAGAAAGAAAGAAAGAAAGAAAGAAAGAAAGAAAGAAAGAAAGAAAATTTTGGGAAATATTTCTAATTAAATATATACCAGGGTCTCTAGGGTCACTATTCATAATGTAGATAATTTCTCCCCTATTATCTTTAGATTAGCCAAATTAGTTTTTTTAAAAAAAGTATTATATAAATGTGGGATATCATGAAGTCGTGCATCAACACCTATATGCTCATTCCGGCTAAGATTATCATCAAAAGCATTTGCAAAATAATATATATTTTCGAAATGCATTTTAATAAATAAATTATAAAATAATAATTAGTGTATCTGTTTTATAAATAACCAGGTTTTTATTAAAATTCAGATCATCATCCAAATCAGCTGTAAAATATAATATTTTTTATTAAATGTATCTAAATAATTTATGATTATTTTTGTTATTATTATTAAAATTACAAAAAAAAACTAATATACATTAGTTGGCATAAAATAATAAATAATAATTAAATAAAATATAGAATATAGAAGTTTTATTAACTAATTATATATTTACTAACAAACAATATTTTGTATTATTTATAATATTTTTTATTACTCTCTTCATTAAGGCAAACATTTTCATTTAAAACTATTTAAGAAGACAATATATTTTTTTAAAATTTTTTAAAAGGAATATCCATCAATTCTGTTTTTCTCAAGAAGGTAAAGAAAAAGAAATTTTATATTATTTATAGCGGAGGCCTCATAGAGGTCTTAATTTTAAATCGGACCCTTGTTATATATATATATCAGAGGATCTAGATACTTGTATCTAGATATAAAAATGTGGTATCTGTATCTAGATAGATTTTTGATTAAAATATCTGTATCAAGATATTATTTTAGATGATGTATCTATATCTAGATCCATTTAAAAAGTATCTTTTAACAACTCTGATATATATTTAATTATTTTTAAACTCGACCCGAATTTTTTTAAGCTACATTGTTTTGCTCTTACCCGCGAAACCATGGTTTATACAATTTTCTTTTAACCTGAATTATTATTATAACACTTATTGCATTTTATACCTTTTAAAAGGGCAGTATTTTGTTTAAACGTTAAACTTTCCAAAGTAGAGCTCTACAGCTACCTCTTCGCTATTTCTTTAAGAGAAGCGCTATACTGTTACTTACTTAAGAGTAACGCACTATCGTTACTTTTCAAAAAGAGAGCATTAAAGTAACTAGATTTAAAATAGACTTCGTTACTATTAGGTTAATTATATAAAAAAATTAATTAAGTGATATATTATTTATCAAAAAACATTAATATTTAGAAAATTAAAACTTTAAAAAGATATATGTATCATTTTGGTTATTTTACCTTACATTATGTATATAATTATAACTAGTGGATTTGTTAAATGCAATTATTTTATTACATTTTTTTCATTTAACACAATTTAAAAAATAAGAAATATTTTATGGTTATATTATCTCGCTCAGAATTAAAGATAAACTTGATCAGATTTTTTTTTAAAAAATACTAAAAATCTCAGAATTTACTTTGCTTCCACAGATATTTTTCTTAAAATCGAAGACCATTTTCTGAGTTATTCAATTTTTTTTAATCTAAACGTTTCAGTTTTATACCTGGACAATTTAGTATTTTTTTTATCTAGACAATCAAGTCTTTTATCTTGGCATTAAGAAATTAAAATTCAATATTTTTTCTGATCGTTTTAGGCAGCCTCTACATGACAGGGTTTTTACTGGAAGCAAACCCTTCTCAAAATTTCCTATTTTTAATTACACCCTCCCTTTCAATCATACAGGTACTTCTTTCATAAATTTTAAAAAGAATAACTTAAATTATTTTAGCTCTACTACCAACTATCAAAATTTTGTGGATATAAAAAGAGTTAGAATTTAGATCATGAATTCATTTAATAACCCCTTCATATAAAAGATATTTATTTTCTAATCTCTTAGGAATACTTTATATAAAATCCGGTCTTTCAACATTAACACCCTCAATTTTTAATCTAAATATAGGGAAAATTAGCAATTGTACAATTCTAAACAATATTTTTGTGCATTGTCTCTGACATAGCTGGTTATCATGGCGATAATGCCCTAAGTTCCTTATATAGATTCTTAATTTTTAAAAAATAACTACCTATCTAGTACCATTATCGCATTTAGCCATATGGAACTAATTCACGATTTACCACATTTTGGGAAAAATTATTTTATATTTCCTAAAATTACCATGGTCACCTACCTTTTTAAATGATTATTTTTTGAAACAAATTTCGATACTTTAATGTAGGGCTGTGCCTATATAAAATATCGGATCGAATCGGCACCAATATTTAGCGTTTTTTAAAAATATCGGATCGGGCCGATACCCGTTAACCGATCTTTTTACTTTTTTGTGTTATTTTATGTCATGTATATTTATTTATACATTATTATAATATTTTCTAACTATTTTTTTTTTAAACAATGCAAATGCAGTACAGCTCATCTAAATATTATTAATTTTTTTAAAAAGATTTATAGTATTTTAAAAGTTTTATTTTAATAAAAATAGAAAGAAACACCTAACGTTTTATTTATTTTAAATCTTTTTAAATAATTAGCGCCAATTTTATTATTTTATTGCAAGAGAATCTAGAGTTTTTCATATTTATTTTAAAAAAAATAGAATATATTATAATTTTATATATTAAATATTACAATTTTATCATTCATACCAACATAAAATGTAGTGTCTAACTCGATATTTCATCCAGAAAAATATTACGCAACCCTGAAGATTTTGCTCATAGAAGGAACAAGGTCTAGACATATATTATAGTATCTTTAGGCTTAGGAAATATTTTTCTGGCTAAAATATTAATGTAGCCGTTTTAAAAAGCAAGCTCAAAACGAGCCATTTAACAACACTTATTGGATATTTTATTAAATATATAAAAATTTTTTTTTTTTAAATTATAGTCTTACTTTTAGAAATAAAAAATAATTGAAATTAAATTCGATTTTTTACATAAAATAATATTGATTTCTTAATTTACATTTGGTTCAAAGGGAGGTGGTGAAAAATCAATATAAATATCGGATCGGTTTTGAGCCAATATCGGATCGGTAAAATATGCGTGGATCGGCACAGCCCTACTTTTATGATATTCACATTTTAGTAGTTATCATGGAGTTTTATCATGTGTAGTTATCCTCTTTATTCCTATTTTTCAAAAATAAAATTAATTTTAGACACACTCGCGATAAGAATGAAATATTTCACTTGGATACTCCTACTCCTTGTGGTGGTAAGTTTTACTTTTTTTTAACATAAATTATGGCAAATTAAATTTAATTAAAAAGAGATATATAAATTTTACATCATTCATTTATTTAATAGATTTTGAAGGACGCGGTGTTGCGAAACGCTAAAGTGAGTGCTCAATTGGGTTGGGGTTATTATTGGGGAGTTGATAAAGCTCCTAACAATAATTATGCCCATGCCAAAATTCCCGCTGATTGAAGATTGTTCATTCTTATATATAATATAATTATAACAATTTTGTGATTAATTTATCGTATAAAAATCAATAAATTTATCATACTTTTTTAATAAAAAAAAAAGTAGATTCATTCATAATATTTAGTATTTAATTTGGAGGTTTTTTAAAATTTCTCAATTGTTTGTTGTGATAAATAAGATTTATAACAAATCACAGTATTTAAAATCCTAAGTTCTGAAAAGGAAAGAAGGAAAGAAAAAGAAAGAAAAGAAAGAAAGAAAGAAAGAAAGAAAGAAAGAAAGAAAGAAAGAAAGAAAGAAAGAAAGAAAGAAAGAAAGAAAGAAAGAAAGAAAGAAAGAAAGAAAGAAAGAAAGAAAGAAAGAAAGAAAGAAAGAAAGAAAGAAAGAAAGAAAGAAAGAAAGAAAGATAGAAAGAGAGAAGAATAAAAAATGGCGGTTTCCCATATGGTGGTGTGCATGGGGGGTTATGGCGTATATCTTTATTACGGATAAATAGCTATGCTATTTTGGGATGACTCTATTTAAAAAATTTTTGCGAATATTTTTTAAAGATAACAAAGGATTTAAATAAAATAAAAGGATATCAATAGTTAATATCAAATATAAAGAAAAGTTATATGCCGCAGAAATTGAGTAGTATTATTAAAATTAGAATTCTACAATATTGAGGAAGTTATTTTTTATCTGCATCAATAGTTATAGGGTAGTACTGATTGGAAGTCTAGCGTTTACTGACCGATATTTTAAAAATTGTATTTACGTCCAATCAATAAACATGAGTTAATAGCCGAAAAATTGATATGCAAAGAATAGGAAAAATTTAAATCATATTAATTTATTTAAAGGCCATTACTTATTTTAAAATATCGGCGAATCTTTAATAAAATAAAAATCTGTAATATTCAGTGAAATAATTTAGGTGACAATAAATTTAGGGATTTTATCTCTTCACCAATTATTTTTATATATTTTCTGAAAATTTATTTTGGTTGTAAAACGTTAGTGAGTGCTCATTCTAGTTATGGAGGCTTTCCAGTCTATGGGGGTTATGGTGACCCTGGATATAGTTTTCTATGGTGAGTATCCTGGATTTGGAAGTTATGTTTCTGAATATCCTTATTAAACCAATTAAATATTTGTTATAAAAATATTATGATTAATTTAGGTATAATAATTCTAATTCATTTATCGTACTTTTCAAATAAAAGAGGTTGATTCGTGCATTCTATTTCCTAATAATTTGAAAGTTTTTATAACAAATCAAGATCCAAAAGTAGAAATTTAATTTCGAGATCTTAACCTCCTCTTGGAAAATCAATATTTTAAATTTTTTTCCCCAGTATACCCTTCTCCAGAAAATTGATTGATTGATTTTAATTTAAATCAATATTCAATTCATTTAAACTTAAAAATCGAATTATCTATCGAAATAATAACTGACCCAACTTTGAAGTAAGTATAATATGGAAATTTAGTTTTCTATATCAATAAATGATTAGACAAATCTTGGTTACTTACACACACCAGGAGTGATATTAGAAGTTAAATTTCATTTTTTATCATCCAAAAGTTTCACTAAAACGAAACCTTTCATACTGCTCAATTTATAAGCTGCACCCTAGTGTAACATATTACGAAACAGAACTACTAAACAGCCTAAAAAGTGAGAAAATAAAAAAAAAAAAAAAATAGAAACGAAATAAACAAAAGAAAAAGGAGAAAAAAATACGAAAAGTAACAATGCCACCAACCACTTATAACAAATCAAAACAGGGTGTCCTGGATCAAAAGCTGTTAATCCTAGGCTAAATAAAAAGTTCTAAGCACTTTAGTTCTTTTAACCTTAAAAAATCTAAAACTCTTAAAAAGACAAATAACGAAGGTCAGATATGATGGCACATGGAATAGATATAAAATCCTATATAAAATTATTTATAATAAAAATAATGTACTATGTAAATTTTTTTGAGCATTATAAAAAATATAGGAGGGATAATAGAGAAATGGTGGATCCGACAAAATGGTAAGCTTTTAAAAAAGTTGAATCCTTAAAATTTGTTATATTAATTTAGTTAAATATTAAAAATGTACTTTGTATATTTTTCAGTTAGTTAGACAAAATATTCATCAGAGATAAAAGGGCATATTGTGCCGCTATACAAAGTGGATAGCCTTAAAAATACGTAGTATGCTTAAAATAATATAAATTTATTTAAATTATAAAAAAAATAATCGATTTTTAGGAGTAGATATAAAATCATATATAAAATTATTTGTAATAAAAATAATGTACTATGTATATTTTTTTGTGCGTTATACAAAATAATCAGCAGGGATAGAGAATTGATGGATCCGACAAAATGGTAAGCTTTTAAAAAGTAGGATCCTTAGAAATTGTTATATTAATTTAGTTAAGTATTAAAATTAATGTACTTTGCATATTTTTCTGTTAGTTAGACAAAATATTCGTCAGAGATAAAAGGACATATTGTGCGGCCCGACAAAATGGATAGCTTTAAAAATACATAGGATTAAATAATATAAATTTGTTTAAATTATAAAATAATATCATACTATGTAAATTCTAACAATTTATTTTTTATAATTCTTAATGATTTTTATACTTTTTTGTACTATGATCAAGGTTATAATTATATTTTGATTTTATAAAAAAATACTATTTAAAAATAAATTAAGACTGTTGGTATTTTATTGAGTAAATGTATAAAATATTAATGATGATATGAATAATTTGTAATAATTTGTAAAAAAGATATATTTAATGTTTTACTTTGATATCCAATACTCATGAATATTGTAATATAATATTGTAATATAATATTATAATAGAAATATTTGTACATTTATAATTATTTTCACTAATAGCAGCTTCTTAAGTAATAATGCTTAATGATTTTTATACATTTTTTGTAATATTAGAAAAAATTTCCAAGCATCCAAGATCTTAATAATTTAAAAAATTTTCTCAAGCTCACCTCAATCCCTAATAATTTTGAAAACCAAGGCAATTTTAATTTTAAGAAATATTTTTTAAGCCCAGTTCAACCTATAATAATTTTGAAAAAATTTTCTTAAGCCTGGAGATATTAAATTTATAATTAATGAATGGGAAATATCTGATTTACCAATTAATCTATGAGTTATTACTGTTCTGCGGCAATATTACAAAAGTACATGAAAATATAATATTATAAAAAAAGACTGTTAAAATATAAAATGGAAAATACACAAAGAATCATGACAAAATCAGGTCTCCAAATATTATTATAAGAATAACAAATATTCCTCGTATTATTGAAGATAACTCCAAAAATTAAGTTATGGAGAAAAAATCTCTGACGTACAAGTTAAATTGAATTTCTATATAAAATATTAATAATTTGTAAAATTTTGTAATTAGATGTATTTAATGTATTCCTTTGACATCCAATGTAAAATTTTGTAATCATAAATTATAATAATATTTAAGGTTTTAATATGGCATCCTACAATTGCATAAAAAATTAAGTTATGGGTTCATCTGTTGTATAGAAAAAAAATAATAAATAAAAAGTGTAATATTTTGTAAATAGATATAAATGTAATACTTTGATATCCAATACTTGCATAGTTGTAAAATTTTGTGATAAATTATAAGAATATTTAAGGTTAATATGGCATCCTACAGTTGCATAGAAAACTTAAGTTAAAGGATCACCTGTTGTATAGAAAAAAATAAAATAAATAAAATCAACAAATAAAAAAAATATAAATAAATACTTACCGATGACATGACGTAGCGATGACATGACGTAGCGATGACATGACGTAGCGATGACATGACGTAGCGATGACATGACGTAGCGATGACATGACGTAGCGATGACATGACGTAGCGATGACATGACGTAGCAATGACATGACGTAGCGATGACATGACATTACGATGACGTAGTGAGAACATCGGAAAATTATAATGTAGATATGATTACGATATTATGTACAAGAAAGACCCTAATAATTTAATTGCAGATGCTTTATCGCGAAATCCAATGGAGTAAAATTATGATAGAATAGCGAAAATAAAACAGTGAATAAATCTTACTTATGTCACATCAACTCTATCTAGAAAAGAAATTAGAGAAGAAACCGCAAAAGATTCAATCTTAAGAAGAGTAAAAATATTAATAAATGGTACAAATATACAAAATCAAGGACCATAATTACAAGCTTTTAGAACAAGAATAGGGTAATTTTTTGTTTTGGAATGGAAGATTAATCATTCCTTACTCACTTCAAAAAAGAGTTTACATATATTGCATACTGAACATCCGAGTATTACATTAATGAAATGAAATCCATTACGAAACATTATATATGGGAACAATTAGATAAATAGTGAAAAACAAGTTAACAGCTGTATAGAATATCCCTAGAGATATGCCAGGTGTTGCCGTATACCCTATTTTAAGTTGTTTTATTTAATCTTTTAAAAAATTTAAAAATTAAATTATTAATATATTACAATAAATTGTCTCTGATTTTTTTATACAAAAATTATAAATTGCATAATAGCAATCCTCTGATTAGAAAAATTATAAATTGTATCATAAAATTTTCTGATTATAAAATTATAAATTGCATCATAACCTTCGTCTGATTATAATTGTTAAAATTTAAATTAAAACTTTATTATATAATGAATACTAAATAATTATTCAAATTTTAATTATATAAAAGAAAAACTATTTTTAAATAAATATAGAAAAATACTAGAGACATTTAATATTAATATAATATATCTTAACAATTCTTAACGGTACATCTACTATTCGTTGAAGAAATTTATCATCAAAAGTCATAAGGTGACAGGTGACGATCTATCAACTTATATATTATATATATCTCTTCGTACCTTCCAACAACAAAACATGATTGATATGGAAAAAGTAAAATATTTAAAAATGATATATCTAAATCTTAAAAGATATCCGGTGCTTTACATGAATATGTCGGACATATTAGGAAAAAAGAAAACTACGATTTGATAAACGACTTTGACATTCTTTCACTTCAAATCAATCTTAAGAAGATTCCTATATTCAAGGGGATACATAGATTCTACATGTATAATTTCATATTTTCATTAAATTTTATTAACTTATATTTTAAATATATTTTCGTGATATAAAATTAAACATCATTTGTGAAGATGGAATTATAATATAAAGGGGGGGGGTTGCTTAGTCCACCTGATGCATATCTATAACTATAGTGATGTAAAATTGCTCTATTTGAGCCGTTTTTTTAAAAATGGTGAACTCAATATTTTGTCCAGAAAATATTATGCAAGCCTGAAGATTTTGATCATAGATGGCACAAAGGCAGGCTTGTTAATCGATCCTTTTAAAAAGGTCGAATCACTATCTTTTGAAAAAAAATAAGATCGAAATCCAGGATCGATCTTTTTTAAAAAAAAGGATCACACTCACGATCACGATCTTTTTAATTTAAATTTCTGATCGATGCAAAATTAACTAATATAAATATTAATTAAATATGGTATAAATTTATTGTAATTGAATAATATAATATAAGTTTAACAATTAGAATATATATATTTATTATTAAAATTAGCCTTTAATAATAAATTTTTTCCTAAATTATCATTAAACAAGAAACAACCATGTTTTTCATTATATATGTTTAGGGGCGCTTGGTGGTAAAGGTGTTATAATCAATAAATGTTTTTTTTTAATTAACCTAATTATTAAAAATATTCACAAAATCATCATTAGAATAAAAAAAATTATTAATTTTGTGACGAATTTTTTCCAAAAAGTTATCAATTTCATCCATGCCTTCATTTGAAAAATCTGCATGTGGTACCCTATATATTTTCTAAATGGGCAATTAACCTTTCTTTTAGCAACAAATTTTGTGGCAGATTAATAAAAAACCAATTGAGCTTAAACTTTGGGTGAATTATTGATGCCAATATATTACTGTCATCATAGTGAACGAAATCTATATTAATAAATGATAATTAATTTATTATTAAATAAATGTTCCATATAAATCAAGTATCTGCAAAAGTTAGCCCTTTCAAATTTTACAGTCAGGCCTGACCAATCATCTGTATAATATTGATTAAATTTAATAATTTTTAATGCCTATGATGGCACATTAAAATTTTTATTAAAAGTTGTGAGAAAATATTCTATCATGAATAATACTGAGGCTTTTTAGGTATTTAAGAACTTATTAATGGTTCAACACAAATTTATATTATTTACATGTGGTTAAAAGGGTCATATAGGTTCGAATGGGCTAATACTGATTATTATAATTAAGATTTACACATCAATAAATATTTTATTATTTATTGTATATAATTCTTATTATTTATTGTATATAATTCTTATTATATGCATATTGTTATGATCTTGACAAATAACAATTGTATTTATAAAAGAAATAATTACTTCTAAATGCCTCTTGGTTTGGACTGCTAATCAGAAGAAGATATTTTGTTTTTGTATAAAGAGCATTTTGCATAGATCATTCTATGGTTTCTTCCTTCTGTTTCACATAAAGTAAAATACTTACGTAAATTATGAAATGGTAAAAGATTCTCATTCTTATATCTGCTGTCACATCAATGTAGATTTATCATCTTCTAAATCTAATAATGGAGGACATTATTAAAATCTAGAATTTATTTATCATATTATAATTTAATTAATAAATAAATATAACTTGTTCGTATAAAAAAAATTGGTAAATTATGTGATACGTGATATATAGCACTTTTGCCCTCTAGCGTTGAAGGTTCAACAGAGCTACGCTAGGCTTTCCTCATTTCCATCTAATTGGAACTAATTTAATTTATGTGTAAAAGTAAAAATATGAGAAGCCCTCAACACGTATTTGTAAGCGCAACATTTCGAAAAATGTTACTTAAACCTCATAGGCTTATTAAAAAGCCGTGTGGCAGAGAACTACAGTATAATTTAATTACCTTAAGGGTGGGTGCTGGCTGATTTTAAGTTTAAATTCTTTAGTGTAAGTCTTAATGATTGATATTAATTTTGAGATTTGATGTTCATAGAATGTAAAAGATGATTAAATAAAAAAAATTTTGCCTGATCAATATGATATAGCATTATTATTTATTAATGATTCATCCATACAATACAGTATTATCACTTGTACTTCCAAAATTTTTGCACCGGATGAACCACCCAAGATAATATTTCTTCCATCATTTTAACAAAATTCTTTTTGCTCAAATATATAAAATGGATACATTCCGGCCATTTTGATGCATTAAATTCCGGAAAATATTTTAATTTTCACATGTTTTTATGCGTGAATCGGGGAAAAAAAAATCAGTTAAAAAATTTCACGGCTAAAAAAAAATCATTAAAAATATTATGGATCAATTGGTAAATTGTTGAAATAAAAAAATCTGTTAGAATTGTGGTCGATAAAATATGATGTAGATTGATATTTTTTTTTTAAAAATAATATTTTAATTTAATTTTCAAAATTTTTATTTTATTCATTTTTTTTTAAGTAAAAAAAATGTTAAAAGGAACGGGATGGAATATTTAAAAAAAATGATCTCGATCACGATCAACCATTTAGAGTCAGGATCTTGAATCCGAGAAAATTGAAAAATTTAGGATCGAATCCAGGATCGGCGATCTTTTGATTCGATCCTTTAACAACTCTGCACAAAGGTTTGAACAGCTATGAGTGACAATGGCACTATTTTTCTGGCTGAAATATTGAGTTAGCCATTTTTAAAGATTGACTCAAATGGAGCAATTTTCATCGCTGCATGATTACTAGTTTAATTAAAATTATATAATATTTAGCAAAGTAATGTATTGTGAAAGACCAGGTAAGATTTTTTGGCTTGTGGCACATATGCTGTATAATATTTGGAGCTAGACTCCTCCCCATTCCCAGCCTTTGGAAAGATCCAACCCATGTCATCTTCCATGTTATATTTGTAAATACTCTATTTATTCCTCTATAATATAAGTAGGCCAAAACTAACCTAAGAAATTTTTTATAAACAGTTTCTGTCCTGACTCATTATAAATTTTTATAATATAACTAATTAAAATAATATGTACAAAAACTAATTCAGGCCACATTAACAAAAATATATTAAAAATTTGTTAATTCATTCTCATAAAAATAATCACAGTTTTACAATTTATTAGCATATTTTATTGTATACAAAAGTTTACATGGAAATTTTGTTATCCCCACTTTTTAATTCACAAAAGTATACAATCTTTAAATAGAGATATTTTTTATAATTTAACATCATATTTATAGTAAAAATAACTTTATAAAAAACATATTTAAAAAATAGCCATAGTTTTGTTAAAAGCTACTTTTAGAGTAGTGAGCTATTGCTATCGAAATTTTTTATTACTTAGTTATATTATATAAAATAAAATGATTAATACTGCAATCAATGTCGTTTTAAATTAAAACTTGAAGATTTTGAAACTGATATAATACTTTTTGGGCACATTTTACATTTGGTAAATATTGAATTACTCAATATAGGATGTCACTGTAAAATATTTATCATATTTGGGCTATGGTTATGTTAATTCATATGATTTTAAATTTTCAGAATCAGACGATGATGAATAAATAATAATATCCATGCTTATGCTAATCTATTAAATTAAAATATAAACAAAAATATTCAAATTAATAAGCTATAATAATGGCGTGTTAAAAAAATTGAAATGTGAAAAAGGAAAAACAGTTAATTATATAATACAAGACTTTTTTTTCATAAAAAATTCGGATTAATAAATTTATAAAATAAATAATAATAAAAAGTGTTTTTAAAATTGAACGAACGTTAAATTAGAACGCGTTCGTCATAAAAAAGGAACGTTAACGTTCAAAGTTCGTTAGGAACAAAAGGAACGCGTTCATAATTTTTTTCAAAAAAACGAACTTCGTACAACAACTGCTCTGACCCGTTAAAATTTTACGGAAATTTTGTCCTGGTCCTTTAAATTTTTTGGTTAATATTTTAAATGTCAATATCTAATTTTTCCTCAATATCATGTAAGGTCTTACATATCTCTAGCTCTACTCTACGGCTATCTATTTCTAGAATAACCATTTTATAAATCAATCAAATGTGTTTGGATATTTGTTGTATTATGTATGTGGAATTTAATCATAAATAATTTGTTTAAATTTTTTTGTTTGTGAATTTACTACATTATTTATAGATTAATAATATTTTATAATTAGACAACTCTTAAAATACAAAAAAAAAGAATTATATTATAATTTTAATTTCAAATAAGTATTAATCAAAACAAAATAATTTTAAGATCAAAAAATATATCAAAATTTTAATACCTAGGCTGGCCCATTCTTCAAAATTTTTATTGGGGTCCACCATATGAGTGGTGGATTATCTCAAGAGTAGTAACGTGCATCTTATATTCTATTAAATTGATCCTGCCTTAAATGACAACCCTTATTATTTAGATCCATAAATTGTAGAAGTTAATTTGGTGTGGTGCTTGGCCTATTATAGCCATTTTGGCTATGCCAAAAGAGCAAATACCCAAATTATATAATAAATGAGCAAATGTAATAGAAAATCATAAAATTTAATAGAAAATCGGCAAAAATACGAATTAGCAAAATATCATTCACGTAAAAGGGCCAAAGGACCAAATTTAATATATAATATTAAAATTATATAATAAACGAGCAAATTTAATAGTAAATTAGAATTGATAAATGACTAGAAATACTAGGAGATTAGCAAAAAGTTTTTTTGCCTAAAAATGCCAAAAGAGCAAATTATTTATAAATCAGCACTTTCTTTTCTGTAAGAAATGTCATCTTTTGGCACTTTTTTAAGAGAAAAAGCTCACCCCATCCAGTAATTTATGTATTTTAGGCATTTTTTTATAAATTATAGTTTAATTTAAGTAAATTACATTAATTCTAGTAAGAAAGTTCTGTCTGTCCCTCCCTCTATAATTATATCCATATATACAATATTAGTAAAATTATGACTAATTAAAATTTTATATTTTCAGAAAACTACCTTATTCCTTTTCTAGAGACATGAGGACATGCTTGATTATCAAAAATTTTGATATAGCTGACGTTCATGATAATGATGATAGTAATGCTAGGAATGTTTATGACTATGATGATGATTTAAAAGCAATGCATTTTTGGAAGAATAAAATATTAAATGATAGTGATCATACATTTTCAAAAGTTGTTAAATTATACATGATTTTGTTAAATTATCTGCAAAAAGAAAAGGATTTTAAAACTTCTCACGAGTTACATTCAGTTAGGCTAGACAGCTCGATTTAGTAAATTTTAAAAAGGATTAACTCAAAATTTTAACCAAAGGTATTTAGCGAAGTAATATTTAGTTAAAATTTTGGCCATTTTTAAAAATCGACTTCACCAATAAACATTGCAAATATTTTAAATGAGAATAACTTATGAAAAATAAAATAAATAAAATACACTTCTTAATCATTGGTGAGAAAGTTAGTTGGTTTTTTTTTTAAAAAGGTATAAAATGATATATTTATGGCATTGATACAAAGATAGATGGTAAATGAAAATTAATATAAATATTGGAATCGGTTTTTGGTAATATCGTATGGGTTCGATGAAAAATTTGTGCATCGGCAGAGCCCTAATTTTTTAGTGTTATGTATAATAATCCAAAAAGTACCGAATCGTGAAATTATATACAATTAAATCATGATTTATTGATATCTCTTTTTAAATGGTAAAAAAATATTTCCAACCTAATCCACATTTTTTTTTCCCCCAACTCAGCCCATCCCAAAAATAATGAAAAAATATCCCAAATCACATGTTCATGGTTAGGGCCGGGTCTTTCTTGTATCTAATGAAGTGTTTATGTTCTTAGATCTTTAATAATTCATTCACTTGAATAAATCACAGAACTTGTGCAGTGTATAAAGTCATAATATTGTTTTTTTTCAGTTAATTTTATTACTTTTTATAGATCCTTACCTTTCACCAGCTAAGAACTTCTTACAAAACCTTCGAAGCTCGCAATAGATTAGCCTCGTCCTATGATCTCTTTATAGCTGATCATCGCATTATTCAGTACTTTTCCAGGATATTGGGTTCTGCTTTTGTTAAAAGAAAAAGGTTAACCATTGATTTGTTTATAGTGTTAATTTTTATGAACCATATAATTAAACAGATCATTATATATAACCTTTTTTTTTTAAAAAAAAAAATAGGTAATATTCTTTCAACATTAATTAATATTTATGATTAATGTTGTTTTATTTAATAAGTATTTTTAAGTCATAACAACTTGATGTTATAATAAAATTAAATTGATGATTAATTTGTTTAGTATATTGTAGATATGCACACAAACTTGACCCGTGTGCCAGCCTACGTATTCAATTTGTAGTTTAGCCTTGAATAATTAAATTTATTTATTTTCCTACGCCAAAAATAATTATGGGCCAGGTACAGCCCTGCAACTTTTATTTTGAACTTGAGCCTAACTCAACCTTAATTTTATTTTTAAACCTATTTTTATAAAGTTAAATGAAAAAATAAATCCCTATTTTCTCTGTCCTAGCCCCTAAAGAAATTTTCTTTTCTAGTTTTATAATTTTTAGTATTTAGATCTAAGTTTTACTAAAAAAAATTCGAGCTTTGGAACTTATATAAATTGTTTTTTGGGGGGATTGGCTAGGCCGAAAAATCCGTATAAAAATTTATTATGGGCTGTGGAGTCATTACTATTTTTTATTGGAAATTATCTAGAATATAAATCTTAATTTTCTCTTATAGAGCCTAAAAACAGCATATATTTTTTTTTTGCCTACATGTTATCCAAAATATTATAGCTATCCAAACGGTCATTCCATGTCAAATCAAACACTTTTTGGCCAACCTCTTTTAATTTCAATAAAAGTTTGTAGGAACGTTATATAATGTTCTAATTATATCAAAAATGAAATTATGACTCAATTCGCATTTATATTACATGAGATAATGGGGATTAAAAGGACAAGATCGGTTTTTTTAATTTTTTCCTCATGTTAAATAATTAATTTTAAATTAAAAGTTAAATTAGTTTGAATATTAAATCTAATATTAACAAATAGCTAAGGGGGGAAACATTAAAATTAATTTTTTTTAAATACATAATTTGAATATATTATGAGCTCCAATTATTGAAATGTCCATATATAGCATTAGCATAGCACCATCTACACCTTTTTTTATACTTTATTCGCGGAATTTAAAATTACTCAGCTGCATTAATTATTGAAAATATTAGAAAAGTAGTAAAAGAATAATAGAAAATAAGATTGGAGCTAAATATATTCCAAATAAAGTTGACCTATACTAAGAAAAATATAATTTTATTGTTTTCCCCTACAATTATTAATATTAGATTTAATATTCAAACTGATTTAGCTTTTAATTTTAAATTAACTATATCCCCATTATTTCAGGTAATATAATTGCTAATAAGGTAAAATTTTGCTTTTAATATAACTTGAACATGTAAAAACGTGCCTACTAATTTTCATTAAAATTGTAAATAGTCTTCCATAAGTAAAATGCCCAATTTTTTTTTGCTCCATTTGACATGGAATAACCCCAAAGGTGAATTTTGAAAAATAATCTGTAAAAAACTTAATTTAACCATCTATTTTAATAAAATAGATGGCCCATGGGAATCAAATTAAATGATAATACGAACCTAAAAACAGAGCTCGACAACGCTTTTCGCAAAACGTATTGCGAAATCAGGGGGTCTGGAAGTTGCTGGTATAACTATTTATTTATAATATATTTTAGTCATTACTTAGTGTTTAAAAAAATTTGATTTAGGGTGATATTTACATTTGTTAATTGTTTTTGTTAAGTTTCATGATCAATGTCTATTTTAAAAAAAAAATTTAATAACAATTTTTTCATTTTTGGATAACATTTTAAACAATTTGATTTTTAAGGAAACGATTTTTGCTTCTCGCATATGAGAATAAAAAATCATTCATGCACGTGAATCTGATTTATTTGATACTAACTAACATATAAATTATAAAATTTTAAAAAAATTATATTTTACATCATTATTTTTGGATTTATTTATAATGTATATTCCCAGTTAATTAATTTTTTAATATATTTTTAGGTTTTAAAAAAAAAAAAATTATTTTTTGACTCAATTTGTCTAAACTAACTTATTTAATCATCTTTAAAAAAAAATTTGAAGTTTCCATCATTATTTTTGGAGTTATGATGTCCATTCTCAATTCTGGCTGTTAATCTCCACTCTTTTTTTTCGCACTTACTCTTACTGCTTAGTTTGCTATAATAACCTCATCTCCCTCCATACTTTTACCTTTTCAAACACATATACACCACCTACTACATAATTGGTATGCATATGAATACCTTCATAAGGTAGTGTGTGTACATATCGGATTATTTGAAACATTTTAGGTTAATGATGCTTACTACCTTAAGGTACTAATCTATCAAATTTGAATTTTGTTAATTTTTCATTTGGATAGGCACTACCGAATATATTTATAATATATATTTGAAAAATCGTGATTTTTGGAAAGCCTCTATGGCCTAGTCGGTTAGAGCTTCGCTTACTGATCCCATGGTCACGAGTTCAAATCCCGGTTTTTCTTAATCTAACTTGGTGGTTCCATCCTTGGGGGGATAATATATAGGAGGCCGGACTCGACCACGTGATTCCGTATTATTATATTAAATAATAAGGGTCTTGTTACATTTTAATAAATTTAGGTCGGTATTTAGCAAATTAGGGTGGTATTTAGAATATTTCCATACATTCACTTGGTAGTAAGCATCATTAACCAACATTTTGCACCAAACACACGGCATACAAACAAGTAATAATAATCTATTTCATTAATGAATTAAAATTGAATCTTTGTCATAACTAAATTTTGACCCTTTATTTAAAAGTGCATCTATAACCATGACTAAATTTTTCTTTACTTGAGATCTAAATCCATAATATATTATATAATAAAAACAGGGTTTTTCCTCCTTTTAAAAATCTTCAAATATTTTTAAATCTTGAAGATAAAAAGAAAACAATTTTCAATGATCTGAAAATGCTTCAGGCATAATTTTTTTTTGCATTTAAAAAAACTTCATTTTTTTAATCCTCAAGGATTTTTGAAAATCTTTAAACATGGAAGATTTTATAAAATCCTCCGAAAAAAAGTAATTGATGACAAACATATTTTTCTTTATGACCAATGTTATTAATATTATAGCGAACTTATATTTGGTCATACTTCTATGCCAGTCAATCAAATATTCTCGAATCTCAAAAAGGTCATCAAGACGTTGGACATCAAAATACCTGGTATGTGGAAAAATATTCGAAGTTTGTACCTCAAATGCAGACTTGGTTCACCGTCTATACCCATATATGTTGATTTAAGTAAAATTATCTCGTTACTTTTCTTTATAAATGCAATTTTTTAATCATACACGTCTAAGGAAGGGGACACAGCGTTCTAGCGTTTGGGAACGTTTTGTAGTCATACAGAAATTAAAACTATAAATATAGAATTATTAATTGTACAAGGTAGTTTTCATTATGTTATATATCAGAATCAACATGTCCACCCCTGAAGTCGTATAATTATTAAGACTGTGCCGATCCAGAAAATTTTCACCGATCCTATATTTTCTGATATTGCTAAAAAAAAAATCATCTGATTTGATTTTTATTTACGATCTATCTTTGAACCGATATAATAAAAATATCAATATTTTCTATTTTAAAAAAACCAACTAACTTTCACGAATGATTAAGTATATTTTATTTTTTTTTATTTTCCAATAGTTGATGATCTTCATTTAAAATATTTGCAATGTTTATTGGTGAATGTAGTGAAGCAGCTCCACATATCCCAATTTTAGTAAAAGCTAAATCAAGATTTTTTTTCAAAGTTATAATCTAAGCCTCTCGTCAATAAAGTTCCAACCAACCCTTTCTGCCTCCTATAATATTTAATTTACTTTTGGCAAATTTTTCAGCTCAAAGTTTTTAAAAAATGGCACATTAGCTAAATGTGACTCGTTAGATATTTTAAAATAATATGTACAATCATAAAATAACCCGTAGCAATAAAAATATCGGATCGGTTTAAAATTTCGACCCGATACGATATTTTTGGATCGGTGCCTATCCCACATTTAATATCGGCACAGTCCCGATAATTATAAAATCCGGGCCGGGTTTGAAGAATTTAAATTCAAGACAGTCCGATTTTTAATTATTCGGAATTAAAATGAGTGAATAAGTAGACAATAAATTTTTTTTTAAATAGGCGGAATGGCTTGAGATATTAGGATTTCTATGGTAATGATATTATTCAACGCTCTATTTTTAAAAAAATTTAACACGGTTATATAGTCTTTTTAAATTTTATAACATCTTGATGATATAAAAGTTGATAGATAAAAATTGAATTAACATTAAGAAGATAGATAAGCGATTACTTATAGATCACAAAGATATATATGAGATATGAGCTCCAACGCCAGAACACTGCATGGCCTTAGCCTAAATTATCTGCCCCTCTTTATTTTAATTAATATAATTTGAATTTCAAGTTATAGTTCAAAATCCTTAATTTATAAAACGTCAAAATATTATAAATTTAATTTAACATAATAAATATTATTATTCATAAACAATCTGATTTACATTAATATGATATGGTAGTGTGTTCTCTCCTCTTCGAAATATCACTTTGAATATTTTCTAACAAATATATTAAGTATTTTGTGGTATGTTTATTTAAGTGTGATCGACACATTAGAGGTTTAAGTCTATTTTTTAATGTCTTTAAATATAATAGAATGATAACAATAACTATCTAATCTAATTAGAAAAATTTTAGAGTTTAAAGTAAATATATTTGATTATCGTTTAAAGCAAAATATTTTTTCCTTTATGTTGGAGAGGTATGATCATGTGAACCTAAAAAGAGATGAGAAAGGAGGGAGGGCTAGGGCGAAAACTATATTATAATATGCCTTAGGGATTAATAACACAAAAAACAAAAATTTTTATTGGATTTAAAAAAAAAATCATATGGAAAATGATAACACATATTTTTCCATATAGCTTATTCCGACGTAGAAATACCCAGAATAAAACAACCTAAACTCGAAACTGACAATTTCGAAGAGATAACCACTCTACCAGACAATGTTAAGGTTAGAGTTTTACCCAGTGGAAGAATACAATTCAGAAATGACAAAAATAACGCAATCGTCTCCCGCAAATCCGAGAAGAAAATGAATCCAAACAAATCAAAGAGTAACAAGCGACCAGATTTATCTGAAATCAGATCCGATACCCATAATATTGTTATAGTCGAGTTTAGTAAAATATATATTTCTTTGAAAATCTTAGTTTCCCTGACTTTCGTGAGGCTGGCATCAATTGTTACTTGCCTATATAAGCCATTGATAAATGACGCTTTCGTTGACATATAATATAACCATACTAAAAATTTGGATAAAATCATATTATACTTTTGAAATAAATTTGAATTAATAAAAAAAAATAACAAAAATTTTTCCAGCTGAATGTTAAATATTTGAATTCTTGTTTAAAGTGATATTTTCTGATAACCTAAATTGGCTATCATATAAAATTATATGTTACAACGAAAAGTATACAAATTAGCTAAAGACTTAGGTCATAATAACCCTCTCTAGTATAACTCAAAGTTGGGCAGGTTATCAAACAAAAAAAAATCTAAATACAATAAAGATTCTTTGTAAAAGAAAGGATTTTAGATACAAATACCAGTATATTAAAAATTATCAAAAAAATATAAGACTTTTATATCTTTTGCTAAATGCGAGTATCCTAAATACATGATACTTTTTATAAAATGATCATTATCAATTAAATTAAAATCGTTTTAAGTATATAATTACAGAAAAGATTAATTTTTTAGAAATTATTATATAAAAATATTTATTTAGTTTTATTTATTAAATCAAATTACTATTTTTAAAATCAATTTTTCAACCTTTACCATTTCAAACTATATAACATTGTTATAAAACTAAATAACCTTCCAGTTGGAGCATATTAAGGTATTGCAGCATTATATTTAAAAAAAAAATCCTTAATAGGGTAATAATTAAGTGTTTCTAACGTAATTCTACAATTTTTAAGCTACTTCAATCACTCTGGCTCAATCTTGTATTATTAAACTGAGAAACATTTGTTTAGCCAGAAGAAAAATAATCATCATATTAAATATTATAGTTAGTTTGATTATGAATATATTTCAAAGGTATTTTTTTTTATCATCTGACTCATTTCATATATTCTTAAAGTATGGATGTGATAATAATTCCAAAAATGTTTCATTCATCAATAGGAAAAAATCTTCCCAAACTTTTTCCTTTACCATCTTGGATAGTCTTAATAAAGGTAGACAATGTGTTAAACCTAATTTTCAAGTTTACCAAAGTCTCTCTTAATCACAAATAGTACAGACACTAGTTTTCTAAAAAAGAATTGCTCTGCCCTTCTAATCTTTTTAATGCAATTGGAGGGCTTGAAACTTTTCAGTACTCCAATATAAGTAATATCACTATCTTTTAATCCTGGACTATCAATTTTTTCTAGTTCAAACTGGTTATGCAGGGAACTTTCAAAAGATTTCCTCTTATCTCCCTTATCTTTTCTGAAGGGCCATTCAAATGCATTCCATAGCTTTGTACCTTATCCCATAACTTGATAGTGAATCCTTACAAGAGGCATTGAGTTTGATATTGCAAAACTTAACTAATAAAGTGTACCAAATATGGTTTCCTTGGATTCAGCTGTTACTTTATCTTTTTCTACTATAATAATTTAAAATGTTAATCTTTGGATTTGATTAAAGGCGTCTTTATAGTAGTATTGTACATTGTATGTATAATTTTATTTTGTTTTGGTATTGTTATTTATCTATCTTGATAAGTTGTAGAATATTACGTTGATTTTAAAATATGTCATAGAAATAAAGAGTGATGAAATTAATATAGCAATCCTTGAAAAAAATATCTAAAAAATTGGCAATACCATATGGATGATCATTGTACTCCACTTTTGTATAAAGATTTTAGTTTTAAGTTTATGTCTAAATATTGAGATGTAAATTAAAATTATTTTTGAAAAAATTATTGTTGCACATTGTTGCAATCTCATCTTTTACTATATTAAATATCTAAAATTATTATTTATTAAATAATACCAGCTAAGTTATTATAAAACTGCCCAAGTGTATTTTTAGAATAACTAACCTTTAGATGGCTTTATATCCTGACTCTCAATTATTTTTTCAACAATTCTTTCATTATTTGCTATTATGGGAGGGGTTTTAATTGCTAAAAATATTTTAAAATTAAAATTTTATTAAATTATTATACTATGCTTTTTTGCTTTTTGGTATGTTTTTCACTATCTTCAGTGTTTTTACAAAAAAAAAGTCTAATATCCATGACTTAGAAATTTGAAAATGGTGAAAAAATATAATACCTAGAAATTTAAAAATAACAGATAAATACTACGCCAAGGAAAACTTGAAAATGAAATTAATTGATAAAATAAATTAGTAAATGAAAAAGGGTAATAATATAAAAATTTAAAAAGAACGAGATATGAATAAATATAATAAAATATAAATGAATATAAATAATATTTTTGAAAAATATATCGGGCTTATGCATTTTTTGGCTTTGGGGGAGGGGGGGGAGGTTCTCCCCCTACCCCCTTCCCTCGTGGTATCATATGGGTACCACCTCCTACAGCCATATCAGGAGGCATAACAATTTTTAAAAAAATGATTAAATATAGGAGAACGTTGCATTGATTGCACCTCCATCTTATTTAATAGGATTTAATCATTAAAATTAATTATCTTTTAGCTTTAAATAAAAATTTTATCCCTTTTTTTAGATTTTAATATTGGTTAATATAAAAAATATGTCATACGATTTTAATTCCTGCTTCAAATAAATATTAGGGCTGTGCCGATCCATAAATTTTTCACCGATTCGATTTGATCTGATATTAATATCGATTAAAAAAATCATTATTTTCTGATTAAAAAAAAACCGAATAATTTTAACGAACGATTAAGTGTATTTTGTTTTTTTTTATGCTCCAAGAGTTAGTTAACCCACTCATTTATAATATGGGAAATGTTTATAGCTGAACTCGATTTAAACGGAAAAATTGGATGACAAAATATTTCCTCAAGTCTCAATTTCGCTAATGGATGTCCCAAGCCTTTCTGTTATCTGAACAAAATCTCCGAACTTGAGTTTATTATGGCTAAAATCTGGAGTAGCCATCTTCAGAAATAGGCTAAATCGAATCGTTTAGCAACACTAGCTGAATGTGACTCGTTAGATATGTTTGTTTAAAACCCCTTTCCTTTTTGTAGATAATATAATAACAAAAAAATATGTACAATAATTCGATAATTTTTTTTTTTCAAATTGCAATGTAATTGAATTTTGGTTCCTTTTATTTATATTTATATATTATTAAATCGTGTATAAAATTGAAAATATCATATATATAATCATGAAATTATGCCGGTTTTTTAAATATCGACCCTATCCGATATTTGTTTAAAGGATATCGACCTCGATTCGATATCCGAAATTGGCACTGCCTTAATTAAAATATTATATAATTTATGTAATAAATTTGGAAATGATTAAAAATAGATTTTAATTTTAATATTGTGGTAGTTTGATGAGGTAGCTTGCGCCAGTATCAGAAATGTGATTTTAAAATGGGGGTCATTCCACGTAAAATCGATCACACTTTGCGTACCACTTTCAAATTAAATGAAACTTAATACGATGATTATGTTGTTGAGTTTAGTGAAGCAAAATCGCTCCATTTATAGCCAATTCTTTAAAAGGGGCTAACTCGGTATTGTATTCAGAAATATTACAAGCCGGAAGATTTTGCTCATATATGACGCAAGGGTTAGGACATCTCTTGGCGAAATCTTTAGATTTGGACATTTCTGGCTAAAATATCGAGTTAGCCGTTCTTAAGAATCGGTTCAAATGGAGTAATTTTGCATCGGCAATTAAATTTTTTAAGCTCTAACTCAATTATTTACAGAAATATGGCGGGGGAACTAAGCTAAAAAAAAGGGGGTGTTCTTTTTTATTCAGAAAAACTGATTAAAATAAAAATTACTCAATAAATATAAATTATAGTCATAGCCCTTGAATCCCTCTCTTAAATATAATTTATTTCCGGAAAAAAAGTTAACTAGTTGGTTTTAAAAATTAAATTTTATAAAAATGGTATATTGTATGTTTGTTTAATCAATATAAATTTATATTGATAAAATTAGGTTGGGATAACCTATCATTTCTTTAGTTATTTAATTTTTATCTATAAGAAAAGTCATTATATATGGCGATGTGATAAAAAAAAAAACTAGATTATTTTTTTTTTCAGTAATATAATTTAAAAAAATCACATATTTATTAAATAAATATCATTATTAAATCATTGATGCATGATTACACCCTGTAGCTGTTGAGGGATTTACCCTATAATGTTATTGAGGCGGGCATGTAATTTATCTGCATTAATTGATACAATGAAGGATGGATCGAGTCCACGGAATACTAACTTGTATTCCTTCAGCCACTTCATTTTTATATACTGCAACTGTCAACCACCAAAAAGTTATCAAACAAACGAGTTACATAGCCATTAATATCATTTGACTTCCTTTGTGAGCATTTGAATAAATTTTTGTTTCAATAGTCGAACCTAGAGTACGTATATTTTGCTTGCTAGTTAGTAGAAGCAATTGAATTTCTTAGTGATTACGATAAAGAATAAATTAAATTATGTAGAAGATCAAGCAAAATAAACACGCGATTATTACATTAGGTCTGAGAGCTTTGAAACAAAAATTTCTTCAAATGCTCAAAAAGGTGAAGGAAAATTTTACTTAACAAAGATACGAGATTTAGAATGAATAATATAAATGTCTACTTTACTTATTTGTACGATAATTTTTGGTGATTGTAGATAAGAATGAATGACCGAAGAAGTGCAAGTTAGTCTGTTTCCATATAGACTATTTCCATACTGAATATTTGCTAATGAAAATAAATTATATACCCTTGTCAATAATATAGAAAACAGCAACAGAGTGTACTTATTTGCATCCAGAGACGTTTTAAAATCACGACTAATTGGAGTTCAATGACTAAATAATGATATTTTATTTCAAAATTATGTTAATATTGTTTTTTTAATTATATTTTAATCATATTTTAAAAATAATAATAATTAATAAACAATGTTTATCCAAACCTAATTTTTTCAATAAAAATTTATATTGATTTTAATAAACAGCAATACCAATTTTTAGAAAATTTTATGCTCAAGTATATATTTTAAAAAATCGACCTCTACCTTTATCGGAAATGAAAAAACATCTGAGATTTTTTGTAAAAAAAATCAAATTATTTTTAAGTAGAGGTTTAAGGGCTATCTAATGATACCAAATGTAGGTCTCTATCATTTATATTTTTTGAGAAATCTTTATTTTTATCGGTTTTTCGAACTGGGAATGGCACCATTTTTTAGCTTTGACCTATTATACTACTGGAACTGATTAGATAGAGCATAAAAAAATTAAATTGCATAGGTCCTCACAACTTATAATAATCAGCATGCTACGCTTAATTCGATTTGTCGTGAAATGATCCATGGATGTCTCAAAAATGCATCATGCCCCTCAAAGAGTAAGGAGAAAATGTATTTCTAAAAATGAAACCAAATACAAAATTAAATCAATTATTTTATGAAATTAAAAGCAAAATATTCCAAAGCAAAACATTTTTTGTGTTTGGTTTCTCCAGCTTTATTAGGCTTAGGAATTATTATAAGTATATATATTGTATCTTTCTAATCCTTTACTATTATTAAATAAAAATATACATATATAGATCGGAAAAAACGGAGGTTAAAGCCGAGGAAATAACGAACCTTGCTGATGATGAGCCTGCCAAAATTTTGCTTGAACCTAATAAAGACATTATTTACAAGCCAACAAAGGACCTTGAGATAATTATAAGTTCCTATGACAGGAACAAGAGATATTGGCAAGAGGAGTCCAATAGTAAACTTAGAAGTATTCGTAATAAGGACATTACGCCCAAAAAAATAAAAGGATCTTTCACCCCACAAAGCATGGCTACCTCGAGTTCTTTTACAAATGAATCGGCCAAGTTGAGAAATGATGAGTCTTTCAAATCTCCTAAGATAGATTGCAGTCTGAATAACATGGCAAGCAATAAAAATACATTAAATAATAAAAACGAGAGTAGCTTGAATAACATTATAACTGGCGAAAAACCTTTAGCTGATAAAACCATCCAAATTATTCTTACACCTATTGTGAATGATGATAGAAGTCCTCAGCAAGAAGAAACACACGACCTTCGACCAGAAATCAACACTTCAATTGCAAATAGTCTTAAGGTGTCACGTTCAATACAAACCAATAAAAAGTTACGTTTCTCCAACTCAAAAAATGACGACGTGGATGTAAGGGTCTTGAGAAAGAGGAACGCAGATGATGGAAGGGATAATAACGATGAAATATCATCTGTTACTCCTCGTGCCACCAAGAAAACGTTTCTTAAAGAGAAGTTAACTAAAACTCCTTGTAAAATAGCTGGTTCTTTTATTTCCCTCGATCATATCCAAGGTATTCCAGCTAAAATACTAAAAACGCCCAAGACATCTGCTATAATATCTAATTCTAATAGGGAAAATGCTACACCAATGGTTAAATTAAATAAATTAGTAACTAAACTTGATCCTGAAGTTATCAAGCTTGGAACCGCTTCAGCTTCTTCAAACTTTATCTGCAAGATTCCGCCGACTATACCCAAAAATCTTAAAAAGATCAAAACGCCTTTAAAAATATTATCTGATACTAAAAGTGTGTCTACATCATCACTCAAAAATAGAAAGAAGTTACTAACCACTGAAGTTACAAAACCTAAATTGGCTTCTCTCTCTCCCGATTTAATCGAAGAGATCTCTAACAAAATATCTGATTTTAAAAATAAGGTTACACCATCCGTTAAAAATGAGATATTACTAACCAAACTTCAATCTGAAGTTTCCAAGCCCATTTCTCACCTAATCAAAGGCACCTCAGATAAAGCATTCAAGGCGTCTAAAAAATCTGATGCTAAAAATAAATCAATACTGTATGTTAAGCAAAAGAAATTACAAACCAAGCTTGATAACGTCACCAAGCCTAGAATAGGCGATACTAAGGATAACTTGTCAGATGTTCTTGCAAGAACTTCTAGAAGAAATAAAAAGGCATAAAATAGTCTAATTTTTTTATATATCATAATAATTATAAATTTTTAAGTAAGACCCAAAATTTAAAATCGAATATTGTATAAATCCGATATCAATTTTTTCACACATCCATACGAAATAAATATGCTGTAAATTATTGGCTACAAATTTTAGTTTTTACTAATCATTTTTGGCATTAAATTATAGCGGATTACTTAAAATTTTCACCATTGGTTGACATAATTTTTAACAAAAATGGAGAAGATTGGAGTTAACCATTTTGTAAGAGAGTGTTCCATGACATATCACCCATTGTAGCAGACGACAATTCTTAAAATAGGAGCATATTTTATAAAAATAAAATTTTTAAAGCTCTAGCTCAAATAGAATCGGAATTATGGGCCTTTAAAGTTCAATAATGGCCTCATCTTGATTTGAATAATCTCAAATTGTAAATATTAGCCAAAGTCATAAATTATATATCATTTTATAGCCCTTAAAATTTTCCTTGATAAAATACAGATAGTTTTCTTTATATATAGAAAATATATTATAATTATTTTTAATAATGCCCTCTTTAAATAACATTTTATTTCTAAAGTTAGTTATATAAAACTAAATAAAATTTTAATTCCTATTTTAAACATTTGATGAGCTTTATCTTTTCTCAAATTTCACTCTTCTCAAAATAATTTTTATTTGTTTTACCGGAAATAACTGGTATACAAAATGATATATTAATTAGTGACTTTAGACTAAAAATATTTTTAGTAATTGAGATTCGTTAAAATTGGAAAAGGGTCTCATTGGTCTTTGAATGTCCATAAATCGTTTATTTTAGCTAAAACTTTAAGATTTTAATTTGTATAAAATGTACACACTATATAACCAATATGTCGAATGATTAAAGTTAAAATAAATAGATAAACAAACCCTAAACTTTAGTTTTTTAATAAGGGGTCCGTTCAGGTTTTTGCTTGGGATAAGTACTATAGTTTGGGTTTTTAGGCTTGATATAAAAAATACATTCATTTATTGCTATTCATTTTATAAATATAATTTAATTTCATCTCGGCGAATATTTTTTCCAAAAATATATATACCCCCTTATTTTTAGCCTTTTCTCACGGTTTTAATATAATTCATTATTCCATATTTCATCTACGTGTGAAAGTCGTTAACACGTAGATTTTTTATCTGAATAGCTTCCCATTCACCTAAATTTTCACTATTCTTAGCTACCCTTTAAATACCTTCTTTTTGTTAAAATCTAATTCTTTTTTAGCTAAAATTTTATTAATGCCATTCTATATATTTTAATTTTCAATTTATTAAATTTTTTATCTTAATATTAAAAGACTATATAAATAAAATACCATTTCACAGTTCCCTAAAAGGAACTATAATTATATCTAAAATTTCTATCTGAATTTTTTGACGAATAGAAATCTAACCCTAGTTTTCCCCTATATTTATTCCCTCCGATTTATCACTTAGAATTACCCCCCCCCCCCTCCGATTTATCTTCTCTTAGAATAAATTTCACCGATTTCATCATCTCCACGATATCCCCACCCTCCCCCGATTAAACATAGTTTTCATTCTCGGCAATATATTTCTTCACTCTCATATGCCAATATTCGCATAGTCCTCTTCTCTAGTTACTGGCACAAATACCCCATCATGAAAATACCCCCTAAAAACTACGCTATGGCAAATTCGGGTGATCAATCATACCCCTATGCCGCCACTCTTGGATTAATCTACAAATATAGTATCTTTACCCTTTCATCCATTATCACTTACAATGACTGCCAATTGTGACCCATAGAATTGTCATATTCTTAATCCCTCATTTTCTATCATTTTATTGGGCCAAATACTCCGATATTTGTCGTATTCCATCACCGAATTAGCCGCTCCTATATCAAATAACATGTACAGTTCTCTCGAATTTATCATCGACAAGGATCATGTACCAACCCCCTCTTGTATATCCCCTCCTATTTATTTAACTCTAGGACAGCAACCTACTTTTTCACTCATCGCCACGACCCCTGCTGCTATATATTCTTTGCCATCATACAGTCAAATTTCCAAATTCCCTCTTCACAAGTCCTCTTTTTCCGTCATCTAAAGCACACGTTTTGCTACCCATTTTCTTTTACGGGCTCGATTCTCGATAGTGCACGTTCGCAGCATTTTGCTCTATTCCACATACCGTACCTCACGGTTTTCGCCAATGACATATAATAATACCTAGACTGACGATTCATTCATTAAAATGCATTTTTTAAGCGTCGTTAAAAGCAAATCAGCTGGACCCGCCATTTTGGTAACCTTTATAATAATTATTTTCATGTTAAAAACTAATATTAAATTGATAACTTACTTTCTTATTATCTCGATGATGATCAGGCAATTCTTTAATAAAGTTTGCATCAGATATAATATAAAATTAGGCTCTCGTTTAAAATTTTAATATTTATTACAGTAACCAAGATGGCGTCTCTAGCTGATTTGTATTGACGTACACTTTTAATGAATGAATCGTCAGTCTAGGTATTATTATATGTCATTGGTTTTCGCTGATTAAACCCATACGCAACGGTTTTCTTATTTAATTTTCGTTAACACGGTTTAATTGTTATTCATAAAATTCCGACCACACGGCTCAAATGTTTTTTATAAGATTCTGAACACGGTTTAACTGCTTTTAATAAATCCGAACATGGCTTAACTGCTCTTTATAAAGAGTCTGAACCCACGGCGGCCATCACTATTATGTTACGTTACGTTTATCCTTTATTAGTCGGTTTATAGGTATTAGTGTTTTTCCCTTTCTAGAGTTCATTAAAAATAAATCCTACAAAATAAAAAAGAACATTAAGCAAACATAAAAAAAAAAAAGTTTAATAATTATAATAATAATTGTAAGAACAAAATTCGAAGAAACAATTATTATGATAAACGATAGAAAAAAAATAAGAATTTAAAAAATGACCGAAACTATAATAATAATTATAAAAACATTTAGCGGTAAAGACTATACAATAAACATGTCTAGCTTATAATGCATGCCACAAGGAGTAAGAATAGCCATAGCAATGTATTACAACCAACAAGTTGATGGAAAAATACAAAGAACAATTAAGTATAAATAAATTATATTACTACCTACAGAAACTTAGCAGGTGAATTATATAAGACTTCTAGACCACCTTCATTTGGAGAAAGAAGAACACAAAAATTACTTAGTTATTACAAACAATAAAAAAACTTTATTTTAATTATTGTAAAAATATATGGTGGATCTTTCTTACAGAGGCATTTTATGACATCAATTTAATTTATATCTTTTTAGTTTGCATTTTTTGACGCAAATTGCAATAAATGTAATAGTTAAAAATTAATAATAAAATGAAAACATTTACATTTTATTATATTATTGTGCTTAAATGCGTTTTTCATATTTCAGAGGGCTATTTTACAGCAGCGGCTTTCTAATTAGGTCTGACAAGTCAAGCTAGTAAGTTGTAAATTGTCCTTTGCCCAACTTTTTGTGAATCTTTAGGCCTAGTATTAATTTGCTTGGTCCTAAGATAATTTTGTGCTCAGTCTTGCTCTGCGCACCAACCTGAGGTTCAGATCCTGAGCAAAACCCAATTTATAGTTTTTTTGAACTTAGAAAAGTATATATGTTCAATATATATCAATCGAGAGCTAATCAAAAGATCTATTCATTAGGAGGATGAGCGTTTCCTCGATGGGCTAATATAAGACTATATTTTAATTAAACTAAATTATTATTCCAAGTAGATGGGTCTAGGTCTTTGGAGGTTGGAATATTTTTATCAATATGGGTAATGATTTTAATCGACAAAATTTAGTCGACTAACTAATATTTATTGAAAAATTTTTTAATTTGGATTTCATGGCTATTCACGACATGAAATATTTAAAAGTTTTATAATACAAATAATGGAAGAAGAAAATAGAAAAGAAATATAACTTAAATAAGGGATTGGTTTTGTTTTTTATATTTTTATACACAAAGAAAAATATTTTATTATTTATATAAAAAAAATTAATTATTAAATGGAATATACAAAATAAAATATTCGCAGGGTCCATAAGTCGAAAGGCTGCATGATATGAAAGCCAAAAACTAAAGAAAATGATTAATGAGAAATTAGCATTTTTAGATAGAAAATTTAATTCTGAGTACAATGATATAAAAATATTTGAAATTAGGTTTAAGATATTATCCGCTTCCCTCTGAATGTTTTCGTGACAAAAAAAATTTTTCGAACCGGAAATATAAAAAAATACATCTAAGCATTTTTAGACAGGAGATAATTACAATGATATAAAAATATTTGAAATTACGTATAAGACATTAGCCTTTTCTATCTGAATCTTTTTGCGATAAAATAGATATTTTTCGAACCAAAAACGTAAAAAAAATCACAAAATTTATATTTGTCAATTACTTCTTTATCAATGTTGAACAAGAGAAATAGCGTGCATACAAGAGACGAAATGGAAAGAACAGAAGACTTTGATGATTGGAGATGGGTATATATTGTACTATAATGGAATTGTTAGCAATAGACGGTGTCGGCATCATCCTCAGTCAAGATCTAAGCTCCTCAGTAGTACAAGTCAACAGGACTCTGATAGACTAATGAAGATAAAACTCTGCATTGGTCAATACTACACATCCTTTCAGTGTATGCTCCTCAAACGGGTTGCAAGGAAGAAGAGAAAGATGACTTTAGAGCTATCCTTGATGAAGCTATAGTGGAAATCCCTAAGGATGAGTTAGTCATAAATGCTGTTGACTTAAATGCGCATTTAGGGAAAGCAAGAGATAGCTACATAAGGCATCATGGTGGTTTTGGATATGGAGAAAGAAATGATGAAGGAGAGCAAGTACTGAAATTTGCGCAAGCATTCGACCTTGCCTTAACCAACACTTACTATAGGAAAAAGACAGTCATTTAATAACATACGAAAGTGGTACAAGAAAAACACAGATAGATAACATGCTAATCTCTCGCAGAAGATTAAAAGATGTAATAGACTTCAAAGTCATCCCAAGAGAAGATATCGCCGCATAACACAAGCTACTAGTCATGGATTTACACATCT